AATTTTAAATCAAAAATAATCTCGTTTATAACCAATATAGTACGTTTGAAAATGCTAAATTAAATGATGTGTTAATTATAACAAAAATATCCATAATTTAAAAGTGGCAGAAATCAGTGTAATATTAAAATTGAAAAAAATATATATATACATATTATGTACACAATAATTATAGCTGTTAAAATAGTTTTGTTTTAGAACACAAACAGAAGTAGGTACATGAAGAAATAAACGTCTCGTATTTTAAACACGATTGCAGTCACGTTGCACCAGGACTAGGTTATAGTGACGTATACCAAGCCATTACCTGCTAATACCTATAAATATATATATTATAATAGGTAGGTCGTAGCTGGTACCGACGTAGTTAAATCGTACATTCGTACCTGCTATATACTTGGGTAAATATATATATATAATATATATACATAAATATATAATATACATCGTAAATAGTAATCATCTAATATACTTGTTCCGTGTTCGTACGCCGGTTGGACACTGCAATGTTGAAGGTCGCCGGTGATAAGGAAGGCGTTCGGTGTTGCATAATTATTATCTGTAGATAATATGGCGATGGTCCGACGCCCGACTGCCCGAGTAGTCGGCACTCGGCACTTGCAGTCTACACTCCGCGCGGTCTAGACGTCTGGCGCTCGTTTCCTCAGCAGCCAACGAACCAGTAAGTCGGAGCTCAAACATGGACAAGATGAAGACCGGATGGTTCAGCGAACTCACGGACCTGCTGCCTGGCAGAAGTTTTTCCATGGAAGTGGAACAGGTCTTGCACCAGGAACAATCCAAGTACCAGGAGATATTAGTGTTGAAAACGTGAGTTCTCGTCGTATACGTCTGCTGTTACTGCCAATGTTTCGTATTATCATCATACCTACCTATTACCTGCTACATATTTACTTTAATAAATATATTACGTCGTATGCCTATGTATATATACGATAATGACCATCTACGTTTCAACGTATTATTAATTATTATGTTAAACAGAATAATTTTGTCGACCGTACCAATAGGTATAGCGACATCAAAATGATTTTAAATAGTGGCGGGACAGGGATGAATATTGTTTTCATAATATGCACTTTGATCTTTAAAAATATACACACATAATGTGTTGTTTCCGTCCTACATGTGCGTAACAGCAAATTTTACGATCATCAGATCACGTTTAACTCCGTTAGTTTAAAATATATTAGAGCGAATTGATATGTTATAAAATTTAAAGGTAAGATTACTATCTAGTCTATCTCATCGGCTTTTTATTACATTTTAATTTAATGGAGAGTTATGACTTTATAAGTATTTTAAAGTTCTAAGTTGTTTGTATACATCTTAAAATACTCAAAACTCGAATTAAAATTAAAATGTTAATTAATATATACATATATATATATATATATATATATGTATAGGTATACTCGTATATTATATTAGTAAAACCCTATAATCACCTCATTGCTGCATACACCATTGGTTACTGCAGATCTCAAACTAAAATATTCCAATTATATTATTCATGAAGTTTTCCACGAAAATTAATACACCGGCCACACACTTATTTTATATTCTTACATTGTAGACATACACTGTACAAATTATACGATAGAAACCTAATTGTTATCGTGAACATTTTTAATATTTATAAAAATACATATTTTTATATGTATGTGTTCACAACAGTTTGAATTCAAAAAAAAAATAATCACGGATTAGTGAAATATATTTAACCATTCTTTTTAACTGTATTTATTACAATTTATTATTTAAACAATAATATGCACATTATTGGGTAAATTAAATGAATGGAAATCATCAGACTTAATATAGGACATGCTACCTATGAGTTTTTTGTCTTCGTCTCAGAAATTGTCCTTCATAAGTTTCAATGGTGTGCTGTTTTAGTTTTTATATTATAGTGAATTAACTCTTATTATCAATCTATATTAAGTGAGAAGCGTCGGTGATTTTTTTCGATCATAGGCGCCCGCAGAAATTTTTCTTGTGGGGGGGGGGCAATGTTAGGATTTGAGGATAAATATTATAATTTTATTAGGTGTTTTAAAATAATAACTTTTTTATTATACTCGTATACAATATATTATATTTTATTATATTACAAATTATTTTATAATTAATATAGGTATAAGTAAAAGGTAAAGGTAACTAATTTTCAAAAAGAAATTTTAATCGTCTCACATCTCTTCCGAAACGATCAACAATTTCTTCATAATATTTGTTATTATATTAATTAGATCAATTAAATCATCTAATCTAATGTTTTTAATGTTTCTAATGGTATCCTACTATTTTTATAACCACTTTCAATTTGTTGTATAGTACATAGTAATTTATCTTAAAACATTCAATTAAAAAAAATATTTTGAAAATCCAGGGGGGGCAAATGCCCCAGCTTCCCCCCCCCCGCGGGCGCCTACGTTTTTGATATTCTAATTTTCAAGCAAAATATCAACAAATTGAAATTGCTTTTATCATCTCACTTGAAAATTAAAATATTTAATAATTCGACGCTTATAAGTTCAGATAATCTTCTTAGCTAAAAATTTGATCTTAGGTCAATCAACTCTAATATCAAAACTAACCAGAACACTATTGAATAACTAATGAACGAAAATTTGTTATTTCGTACACGTGTAGGTACGTGTGTAAAAAAGAGACAACAATGCATGAGTTTTATATCACTAAATATGACAACTAAAATATTATACAGACGAATAATTTAAAGGTAAAATCTTTTCATTATTGATGAACTACAATGAAAGGTTCAACGGTTCAGCCGCATGTCTGCATGTCCGCATGGCCACA